TATTCACATAAGTTTGTGAAAGCCCTCAGATTCCTAAATCTTGCATCCAGGTGTCTGGGTTGGAATGATTTAGCTAGGCCAAATCATTCTCTTTTTTTCTCTTCATTTAAATTAGAAACAATCTTACTTTACATATCAATTCCAGTTCCCTCTCCCTTCCATCCTCCCAAGCCCTCCACTGACCCCATCCCTTTCCTCTTCTGCTGCCCATGGAGGGTGAGACCTTCCATGGGGGAATTATCAAAATCTGTCACATCATTTGTGGCCGGGCCTAGGTGCCCCCTGCCATGTGTTTAGACTGAGAGAGTATCCCTCTATGGGAAATGTGCTACAAAAGTCCATTCATGGGCTAGAGGGATAACTCATCCATTAAGGACTAAGCTCACAACCAAATCATTATTCTTAATTCTTAGCAATTTACTACTGACTTGAGCATAAGAATAATCAAGTCTACCCTGCTTACTTTTATTTCTAGTGTTATAGTATTCATTTATAAAATTAATAAACTTGATAATCTCCCACTAGACTCTTAAAAATACCCCACTAGGTTTAACATTCTAAGGTCCATTCAGCTATGAATTAATTCATTAACAAGTTGATGAAATGGGTGCCCACATAGTCAAATTTTACTGGTTAAAAAATTTAAAGTATTTACTAATCTAAAAACTCATTTATTAAAACTTCAAATTACTTACTGCCAAAATAAATAGGTCCTGTTACATATGTAAGTTCTTTTACAAATAACATACACAGACACACATGAATGTATTCATCCTTAAAATAGTGTAATGCAAATGTAGTTGCAAAATAAGCTATCAGCATCAAGGAAAAAATTCTCAATTTTCAATTGTATTTGGAGACTCTAGAACCCTTGTTAGTGGGTCTAAAACTTGCTACAAGCATTCATATTAATCACTTATAGCCATCTCCTTGGCTTTCAGCAGATGGATTCAAGGCAAAGTTTGTGAAGGAAAATGGACAACATAAGGGCTGACTGACATCACAGAAAAAGAAAAGGTTTAGAAGTATACACATTAACATATGTACCATTTAAACATAATACAGTGTGATTTTTTAGGGCTGTTATAAAGTTCCCAATGTCAAAATTTCCATTCTTGTGGTGGAAAAAAAGCTCTTGTGGTTTGAATCTGAAGTTATCAACCCAAAGGGCTCATAGAGAATATTTGATCCCCTTCTAAACTGTTGGTGGCACTACTGAGGGGAGACTGGTTCATGTTGGCATCTGTTTCATCAATGGGCTAATCAATTAATGAAGTTATAGCCGAATGGGCTCTTAGGAAGTTAAGCCTAGTTATAGGATGTATGCCATGAATTATTTTCTTCAAGCCGTGTCACTAAAAAGTGGGTGAGACTAGTGCAGTTCTTGACATTCTAACTTACGATGCTTTTAAGGAATGTTTGTAACATTTGAAGCAAACATGCAAGTAATATAAGAGTAAGACATGTTTGGACAGGAAGATAAAGTATCTCATGACTCACACTTGAAATTTTTCTTAGTGACTAGCAAAAAAAAAAACATTTGTTATTTATTTTGCCTCAGATACTATCTGAGTTACTTTTCTATTGTCATGATAAAATACAATGACCAAAGTAATTTATAAAAGAGAGCCTGGGGCTCATGGTTCCAAAGGGCTCTCCATGACCATCAAAATTGTGGGGATCAGGGAAGAAGACAGGCAGGCATCGCACTGGAGCAATAGCTGAGAACTTATATGTTGATACAACAACCTTCAGGCAGGAGGAGAGGAGGATATGAGGGAGGGTAGAAGGAAGGGAGGGAGAGAGGGGAGAGGGACAGGGACGGAGGGAGGGGGGCAGAGAGAGAGAGAGAGAGAGAGAGAGAGAGAGAGAGAGAGAGAGAGAGAGAGAGAGAGAGAGAGAGAGAGAGAGAGAGAGAGAGCTAACTGGGAATAGTATGGGGTTTTCGAAACTTCAAAGCCCACCCTTAGTTACATACCTTCTTCAACAAGGTGTCAGCTTTTAATCCTTCTAGAGCAGTCCCACCAAGAGGGTACTAAGTATTCAAAGATACGATCCTATAGAGGCTGTTCTTCTTTAAACCACCAAAGATACTGACTTAAATACCCTTCTACAACCAATCACTATAGATTAGAGGTTGGTGCCATGCTTAATTCGCAGAAAGTCACTTATTCCCTGGGATTTCCTTCATGTGAAACCATAAAGCATTAATATCAAGATTATAAACTAATTTATGAAGACAGATGGCCTCTGAAAACCTGGGGTGATGTCAGAATACCAGTAACACCACTTGATGTACATTGCAGGCAAGCTTTACCAGTTTTGGTTTACCATGTTCCAGTAGTCTAGAAATCTTCACATGCAGATTAATTCTATTTTTACCTTTCCCGAGAAGGGTGACTAGTTACAGGAGCCAGCAGCATCTTTGACACAGAACTACTTCAATGTGACATTTCAGTATGAATAGAAATGGCTTATTTAATTAATCCTAATTTGAATTGTGTATCTAAAATCTAAACATGAGTGTATAATTTGTGCAGTTAATAGCATTTTGTAGTGTTTAAAAACTTACAGTTTCACTGTATGTTTTTCTTAAATACAAAGGCATTGATTCTGTGATCATTTTGCCATTTACAAAAGTAAGAGATTAAATGTCCTACATGAGCTCTTCAAGTGAAAGAAAACAGAAGCCAGGACTAGGCTCCACATCTGTCTTTGATGTTGGAGTTATTAGTTTGCTGCTGTTTAATTTAAGATTAAATATTTTTCTGTATAATTTAGAGAAACGTGGAATAACTTGATATTGCAGAATCTGTGAGCTCATGCATATCTGCTTCATGCAAACTCACTGTATGTATATTTCGTCTGTTCCTTTTAATGAGTCCCTTTCAATAAGAAAAGAGTACATTTACCTGATACTGGGTATGTGTCCTTCCTCACATGTTCTAGTCCAGTTAGTTCGATTCTTTAGTTATTGGTTTCTGGTTTTTTTTTTTTTTAACTTTTATTGATTCTTTGAGGATTTCGTTATCATGCATCCATCCCGATCCCATTCATCTTCCTGTCCCTTTCTTTCTGCTCCCTGCCCTTGCAACCTGTCCCACAAAATAAAATTTAAAAGAAAAACCAAAACCCAAAAACAAACTCAATCAAACAACCACCCTCCCCACAAACAAACAAACAAACAAACAAACAAACCTAAAATGGTCTCATGCAGCTCAGGCTGGCTTCAAGCTTGTTATGTAGCCCAGGCCACACTGAAACTTTTGATAATTCAGGCTTCCAACTCCAAAAATTCTAGGATCAAAGGCATGACCCAGTGCATTTGGTTCATTATCCAGGTTCTACATTATTTGGTGCCTTCATCCCCAACCCACCCGAATCTCTCTAATGAAGACAAAGAGTGGGCGGTGCCAACGGCTCTGCTTGCCTAGTGCTGCAGGAAAGATCTAGTGGCATTTCTATCATGAGTCTTCTCTAAAGGTTTATAACTCAGTCATAAATACTTAGCCTGGCAGAAACTTACCCTGGAGGGTCACAGGCCCAGAGAAAATTATTCATTTATAAATTTTACTGACTTGCTTGAAATTGTTTTAACTGCATTTATCCTTTGTGATAGGAGGAAAAATAATGGCTTCATAGTTCAAGACAGTTTTGTCCTCCTATGAATCAATATAGCAATGGGATACATGAAAAAAGCCATTAGAAAGGGACCACTGAGAACAGACAATAATTCTTTCTTTAAGAGAAAGGCTTGAGGGCTGGCATTATTCAACCACAGATCTATTAGCAGAACTTAAGGGGAAAAGTGAATGTTATGAACTATCGATTAACTCCCCACACCATCCTGTTTTGCTTTCTGTTTTCCCACCCACACAGGTCTTATGGAGGTGCATGCTTGCCGAGCTCTGGCCATTCCCGCAGCAGCTACATAAATAAGGCAGGGCAATGAGGGAGGACAGTGGTGGCTCCAGGTTGTGCCGCTCCGTGTGTGACTGAAGCTGCATTGCTCTCTACACCCATTTCTGCAGGGAAAATGCTTGTTTGGTGCAATATAAGTTCCGCTAAATCGGGTATAAAGCAAGTACTTAGCTGTCACACTCTCTCTGTAGGGCCTGTTATCAAGTGCACCGAGAGACTGCAAGCATTTAGACACTGAACAGAATGACCTGAAACTAACGGTCAGACTCATTGAAAGAGGTTGGTCATGGGAAACATAGGCTAAGCTGAAGCATTTGAACTAGGATTTATAACAGAACGCTGATGAAAATAGTCTAAAGTCATATAATTGAACACAACAAAAACGGGATCTAAACTCTTCATGATTCTGAATATACTTTGCAAAGGAGTCCCCCCCCCCCCCATTTTGTCCTTTAAATGTAACCATTGAAATTCAACAAAGAATTCTTTTTTTAAGCATATAAGCTTATACTTATTCATAGATTTTTCTGATTCAGAAAGCAACATGTCATTTAGAAAATTTATTCTAAATTTGTCTGTGTGTGAACTCATGAGTGTGCATACTTATCTGTGTACATGTGCATGAGAAGGTCAGAGGCCAGCCTTAAGGGCTGTTCCTCAGGAGCTTTTCGTCTTGCTTTGGAGTCTGGGCCGCTCATTGGCCTGAGGCTTGCCAACTCAGCCCAGGGATCTCAGGTGCTGCTGTTATAGGCAATTGTGAGCTCCTGTGCAGATGCCAGGGACCAAACAGGTCCTCTACAAGAGACATAACCAGTGAACCTCCTTTTCAGCCTCATATTCTTGTTCTTGTTGTTGAACCCAGTTTAGTCAAAGAAGTAATAAAAACCTGCAATAATCCTAAGAATTAAGAAGCCTCTCAAGGAAAACAATGCCTTTCCCCCTAACCCATCCTATTGTTATTAGATTCTTAGAGTTTGATTGTTATCCTTTCATGATTAATGATCCTTTCTTCTTTTTCCTACCTTTCTTTGGTGACCTTAACTAAATTACTAATTCATACCCTATTTTTTTTCTTCTAGGTAGAACCAATAAACATTTTATCCTTCCCATTGCTGGAGGGTCAGTTTCACTGTTGCTTGTTATCCTAATTATCATCATCATCATTTTTTATAATAGGTGAGTAAAGCAACTTAGCCTGAGTCTTATTTGCTTTGAATAATTCTAATATTTAAGGTTCTCTACAAATAACCCAACAACTTTTCAAGCTGATTCAGGATTCGTGTGTGTCTACAGACATATGAAATTACTGACCTTAAGCGACAAGAAACAGGGACAGTAACATTATAGAAAAAGTTGGAATCATTCACTTAAGAATTAGTAGAGTTGGCAGTGTGCCCTCATAGTGTAGCAAATTCCTTTGTTCTACCTCCATCTTCCCTTTCTCCTCCACCATGGGGTCAGCTGTCAGTTGAGAAGATTTTGTATGAGGGAACTGTAGTGGGCAACAGAGAGGGAGGAATAAACCTGAAGAAGAGGGGTAAAGTTTTACTCATTCATCAGCGTTTTATACTGCAATGTGAGGAATAAGAGGTAAGGAAGCTTACGTATGTATCAACACGATAAGTGGTTTGATAGTTTCTGAAACAAGCCATCTAGACATGTTAAATGAAGTGACTTAGCTAGGAGCTAGAAGGATGACCTAGAGAGAGATTTAGGTTCTACTGAAGCTTCTAACTTTTTACTGTATTCTGACACAGAGAAAAATTCTAAAATTTTCTTAGTTGACCCTTTCTTTCCCTTCTAGTTCGCCCATGAGCTCTACTGATTTGTCTTGTTTCTCATACTTCTTTAATTGTATTGGATAACTTATACCATGTTCCACCTAAAGTGTCCCCTGCTCCAATGAGGAGGGGCCCACTCTTTGAACATTGATATTTTGCATGTCTGGAAAAGCACAGGAATTTAATGTGGTTGTTGATTTTAATAACTCCTTTCACTTCCCCAAGCTTTGCTCTCTGATATACTTTCTCCTTCTAATCTATTGATTTTACCTGCTTATTTTGAAAATAGGATTGGTGATGTCATTCTCCTGATTGACAGTTGTATTATCTTCCCCCAGACACCAGAATAATCTTAGAACTCATTAACCAAGCATTGAAGGTACCTTGCTTCTTGACCTTAGTATCTTCATTTATATTTTCCACATTACTACTCTCCCTAGTTGACTAATTTTTGGAACACCCCCCCCCACACACACACAGATAGACAGACACTCAACTCACTTCTCTTTTCCCTTTTTAAAAAAATTAACTTAGAAATAAGCTTCTTTTAGATGTCAGTCCCAGTTCCTTCTCCCTCCACTCCCCCATGCCCCCACCCCATCTCCTTTCTGCTCCCCAAGGAGGGTGAGGCCTTCCATGGAGGACCTTCAAAGTCTGTCATATCATTTGGAGCAGGGCCTAGACCCTCCCCAATGGTACTTATCCCCTACCAGAAGCCCCATAGATTAACCAGACCTCCAAACTGACAACCTCATTCAGGGGATCTGGAACAGTCCTATGCTGGTTTCCCAGCTATTCAACTCACTTCTTTAAAGGAGAAGAATTTTGCTATGAAAATACAGTTTCTCTATTTTGACCACAGTCTTGTTCTTCATTCAGCATGCAAGACACTTGTCCCTTTTCCCCATGACAAAGATCTGTCTTCTTTTGATTTTTCTTTCAAATAGATACCATGTCACTATCTGGAATATCTTGTCTCCCTTATCTGCCATTTCTTGCATCTTACTCTGTAATTTAATTCCTGTTGTGATTTCCATCCCTTCACATTCATGATAATCATAATGTGAGAATTTTATGGTTTTTGGTTTTAACATTCAATTGTATTTAGCACTAATATGTCTAAATAGTGCATATTTAATAGGTATCTGTACAAGCACTTTGAAACATGGGGAAGTTTTACCTTTTCCCAGAAATTACTAAGTTGATGTAAAGACCTCCAAGCGTTAAGTATCATAGAAAATTCTATACTACTCCACCTTGGTTTATAAAAAATGCAAAGGGCAGAGATCACAGACGGAGTACATAGGGGCAGGCAGCTCAAATGAAACGATGGGTGGCAGAAGGGACCTCTGGAGGGTTGCAGACGTGGGGCATGTTAGGTTTTGCTTAATGAAATTGCATTACTTTTACCTGAATAACTAAAGTGAACCAGGGAGCATGTATCCTTCGCTGTTAAATGTTATAAAAAGATTAGTGGGCTTGACTGCATAATAGTAGGTGAAAAGCACAAAAGAAAGGGTACATGTTCATCCTACCTTGCCCCAGGTCTGTTTTACTTGTTACTTCAAATGGAAATGCTTTGAAAACTGACCTGAAGGTTATAGAAATGACCTGGAGCCCTGTGTCTTACTGTTTAGAATCATGCTGCAGCTTCAGATGTGCTGAGTTGGACAGGAGCCACAGCAAATCCTGACTTTACTCTTGACACCTAGTCACCTGTGATTCTGATGTCTTTAGAAGCAATTCCTCTGCTTCTGGTTTGCACTTGTTACATGTAGAGATGAAAACGATGACAATCGTGAGTGAGCATGACCAGGGAATGTACAGAGTGCTGCTCAGAATGAAAGGGGCCAAAGTTTATTCTTGAGATGGACAGCTGTCTTTGTAAGGTGATATTTAATGTTTAGTGAGAAAATGCTGCTTGTTTGTACATCTGGTAAAGATGTGCAAATTATGTAATGTCTTGATATGCTGGGAACTCTCCTCTTTTTTGCATTGAAAAATAGTCACATACTGAGAAGCACCTTACAATTAGGCAAACCAGGACAACTGTTCAACACAATACAAACTTTGGTGTATGTACTAACTATATTGTAAGGATAACAGAACTGATAATGAGAGATATTTATCTCTTGTCTAGCAAATAGCACAACACAAAATACATAAAGAGCATTGAGATCTAAATCTTTCATTCACCACATTGTACGTTCTAGTCTAATTTAAATAAAGGTAAATATACACAGACAGACATAGACAAATACATATACACAGAGACATACACATATGCATATAGAGTCACAAACACAGAGAGAGACATACACAAACACTATAGACACATAGACATGCAGAAACACACACACACACACACACAAAATCTTTTATTATAAATGACAATTTTACTGTCCAGAGGCATAGCGCCATCCAATAACAGCCATGTCACATATTTTCTTAAAGAATTAATAAGAATTGACTTTCAAAATCTTTGGAAAAATCATTTATTCACCATACATTTAAAGATAGAATGAGTAAATAAACCGAGGACTAATTTCTTAAATAACAAAACCAAGTAAATGCACATAAAGAGATACGATTGTGTTGAGACAGTAGGGCTACTTCCAAGAAATTTCAAGTACTAACTACAAGCAATAAACACAGGAAGTGAGAAGACTTTTCTTGTGTTTTTAAATAAAACAACAAGAAAAAGAAAGAAAATAGTCTTCTCACTTCTTGTGTTTAATCTATCTCTGATTCCGTTGAGTTAGATGACAAAGAGAGTCATGATTTCCCATAAAAGCTCTTTCAGGGTTCTTTGCTGTCCTTATTTGTTTCTACACATTCAATTATAGTATCATCTTTTTTGTTTCTCTTATATTTATTCTTTTGAGATTTCCAGCAGAACTTCAGTTTTCCTAGGTGAGTGTGTTGCCCACTGTGACTCTGGATGGTCTGTTTGTCCAGGTGACTCAGAGTGGAAGGAGCTTGTTCAGGAGTCAGGTGGGAAGGCAATGGCTTTAACTTCAGCACCACTACTAACCAACCATGAGATGCCAGGAAAGTTCCTATTCTCCTTTGAGCACTTTCCTAATATATTAGAGCATTGATATTTCTAAATGAAATAACACATCCAGGTAATTTAAATGACCCAGGAGATTTTATGAAACTTGAGTCAATTATTTTTGTCATTCAATAAATAACAGTGCTGTCATTTTAAAGAAGTTTTAATTGTAGAAAACTCTAAGTCCAAAAACCGTAGGCTGTTTCAATACGATTCCATTATATAGTATCTTGTAAAACCACTGTGATTAAAAGCCATGTAGCCGTCCTTCCCGTCTACAAGCACATTGTAGGAGGTATGTTATTCTTTTCATTGCTATAACAAATGCCCAGAAAAGCAATCTTAAGGGAAAATGGATTCATTTTGACTCATAGTTTGGAGATCATAGAAGCAAGAGTATGAGTCACTTGGTCATGTTGTAACCAGTTAGGAAGCAGAAGAAAGTGATTCCTGGAGTAGTTTCTTGTTATTGAGTCTTTGACCCTAGCTAGTAGGGATCTATATATAGATGCCTATGTACAGCATGAGTCTTCTTTCTTCAGGTAAAAAATTCTGTAAGCAAAGTCATACCAGAAGTATATTTCCATGGTGACTCTAAATCTGGTCAAATTGGCAGTCAAACCATCACAGTAGAAAGTGTAGACATAAAGCAACTATTTATAGCCACAACTACTTCTTCACTAGATGTGCACTGGCTTGGACTACAGCCAGGATTTGAGCAGTAGGGATGACTCGTGAAAGAGTGCAGTGTCTTGATATTCTTTGCTGTATTTGTATTCCAGAAGGAGAAGGAGACAGGTGAGAACACCACTGAAAGAGCCCAGAGATAAACAGAGTAAGGTAAGTCTGTTGTCATTGCCCCAGTTTGTTTAAAAGTATCCTATAATAATAGCTCTTTTATTTTCTGTTATCAATCTCATTGCTTATTTCCCTTTCAGTGACCTTGCAATGCCATTGCTTGCAGTCAAGTATAAATTAGCCGAGGATATAGTTACCCTCTTACTGTTAATAATTTTTAAGCCAGGATTTAAAATTTATATTAGTGTAAAAAATACTACACGCCTATAGTTCTAGCTCCTGGAAAGCTGAGGCAGGAGGATTGTGAGGAAAATAATAGAAATATATAATTTCTGATATAATTACAGGCATCACTATATGTTACCAAAATCTGCATTATGTGGGTTTCCACAACACATTGAACAAATTGGTAGTTTGAAACAGCAGATATCTGTTCTTTCATGATTTTGAGGATTGAAGTAAACAATCAAAAGAACCATGAGAAGGAAAGCTACTCCTTAGGTAAAATTGGTCTTGCAGTTTTCTAACAGTTTCTGGTAGCTTCCTGTGATTCTCCACAGCCATTGCCTTGCAGATATCCTTTCCAGTCTTCTCTCTGTGCTCACATGATGCCTTCTCTGTGTTTGTCTGGATCTCCTTGACTCTAATAAAGACACTGATCACATTGGACTAAAGGCTGATGTTCCTCACTTCAGTATAACACATTAACTTTACCTTTTTAAAGTTTGGGACTGTGCATGTGCATATGAAGGCAAGCTTTGTTGCCAATATGAGCATGTGTGGGGGCCAGTGGTTTATGTCATCTTTTAACTTCCTCTATAGATCCCCATATTATTTTTCCCAGACACTTTATATTTTATTTGTAAATATTTTGGCATGAAAAGCTATAAATACTCTTTGTTATTATTATTATTATTATTTAGAAACAATCTTATTTTACATATCAATCCAAGTTCCCTCTCCCTCCCATCCTCCCATGTTCCCCACCAACTTCCCCATTCCACCTCCCATCCACTCCTCAGGGAGGATGAGGCCTTCCATGGGGGAATCATCAAAGACTGTCATATCAATTGGGGGAACCCGGCCTATACCAGCCCTCCATGAGGACTGTTATTTTTTGAGACAGTATCTCATTGGCTGAATTCAGCCTTGCTACTTTTACTGGATTGGCTGGCTGTTAACTCTCTGAGATTTTCTTGTTTTAAACTCCTAGTGCTTGAATTGCAGAGATCTGTGCTCACCTTGCACATGGGTGCTGAAAATCTGAATTCATATGCTCATGCTTGCTCAGAAAGGACTTTAGAGGCTAAGCCATCCTCTGAGCTCCTTAGTGTTAACTTATCTGCAAAGATCTTACTTTCAAAACGTTAAGGAAGTTTTTATAAAAACTATTTAAAAATTAAGTAACTTATTTATTTAATCTGTATCCTGGCCCCAGTTTCCCCTCATTCTTCTCCTCCTCCCAGTCCCTCCCCCACTGCCTCTGTTCCCACCTCCTAATCTATTCCTCCTTCATTTCTGTTAGGTAAATGGCAGGTTTCCCTTGAGTATCAACAAGACTTGGTGTATCAAGTTGCAGTAAGAATAAGCACCTCGCTGGAGAAATGGCTCAGAGGTTAAGAGCACTGGCTACTCTTCCAGAGGTCCTGAGTTCAATTCCCAGCAACCACATGGTGGTTCACAGCCATCTACAGTGAGATCTGGTGCCTTCTTCTGGCATCCAAGCATACATGCAAGAAGAACACTCTACACATAATAAATACAGATTTATTAAAAAAATAAACACTTCTCCATCCATTAAGGCTGGACAAGGTGACCTGTAACAAGCATTTTTCCTGCCATCCTGGTCCCAGAGCCGCATCAACTCCAAGTAACACACAGAGACAGCTATGAGTTACAATGCTGTTGGCCAATGTCCAGGGCTTCTGATTAGCTAGTTCTGTCTCAAGTATTAACCCATAACTACTAATATATATGTTTCTATAAGGTCTTTTCTTACTGAGGACACTAGCCTCATGAGTTCTCTCTTCCTGAGATCACATGGTGATTCTCTACTATTGACTACAATTCCCAGAATCCTTCTCAACTCCTAGTCCCACCTATCTTGCTTCCCTATTGGCCAACAGTGCTTTATTTATCAACCAATAAGACAGCATATACACAGAAGGACTTCCCCCATCAGAGACCCAGTACAGGATCAACTAACCTGGGTTCATAGGGGCTCACAGAGACTGAACCAACAACCAGTAAGTCTTCATGAGGCTGACCTAGGTACTCTGCATATGTAGCTTTTTCCTCTTATGGGACTCCTAACAGTGGGAACAGGGCAGTCTCTTGTAAAGACACTTTTAAGAGGCACCTATTCAATTTAATACAGAACATAACATTATTTTATGCCATAAGATTAAGATTATTATGAGGGTGAAATTATATTAAACTACATAAATGACTCAGAAGCATAGTACACACAAAGAAAGGTCTAATGTCTGACTTTCATTGGTATTATTATCTTTGAATTAATTTTTAATTAATAAATGCTCAAATTGGCTATAAAATTACAGATTTTCATGTAAGTTTCAGGACTGCAACAAATCATATATTTTTTCTTTCTTACTCTGCTTTGCTCCTGCTCCCTACTGTTTAATTCAAAGGATGGAAATTTCCTTCTGAGTTTGCATATAAGAGGGATGCCTTTTTCATGTTCATTGTCTCTAATTTTAATTCAAACATTTCTATTTAATAGCATATTATAATTTTTAAGTTTCACTATAAAATATTGCTGGGAATTGAATGCTTGTATGCCCCAAATTTGCATATTGACATTGTCAAACCTCTAGTGTAAATTTCAGGTAGAACCTTGCAGAGGTGATTGGGTTGTAAGGGTGAAACCTTCACTAATGGAATTAGTGTCCTATAAGAAGAGATGGGAAGAGTTTTGAAAGTCAGACACCTTTGTTTGTTTATTTTTGTTCAAGAAAAGATTTGACACAGGAAGAAGGAAGATGACAATCAGTAATTCAAGAATCAAGCCCTCAGCTGATATTTGGTCTTGTACTTTATATACTTTATAACTGTGAGAAATAAATGTGTTGTTTAATTGAGCCATTTAATATATGCTATTCTGATATATAGCTGCCTGAATTAAGACAAACAGTTTCTCAAGTGTTATCCAAAATTACATCAATTTTTCTTCATGTTAATTATTTGCAGTCAAGTTCTACATGGCTAAAAGGACAAGTACTAAAAAGTCCCTGACAATTTGATATGTTTGCCGCAGATTTAATAATCTATCAACCTAATTTTCCTCTTTTATGAAGCATTGGTCTTTGGAAAATGAGGGTTTTTTTCTGACTGACACATGATTTGTTTCTTGGAATCAAGTTCAAAACAAAGATGTCTTGCCTTAGTCCATCTGCTACCAGAGCACACAAGATGATGCTCCAACCCCAGTGCTTAGATCCAGATTAATTTCTCTGTGTTGAGTTCTTTGTCCCATCCAGCCAATCCAAATGCAAATGTATTGCTATGGATTTTGAGGGTGGAAAGAAAGATGCTTTAAATTATCTTTACTAGATATCCAATTGTTCCAGACTTCTGAAAGATATCAATATTGTCAAGGATTTGTAAACAATTTTGGTAATCTTAGATGATTAAAGTCTTAGAACTGTGAAAGATATTTGATTCTTTGGAGAGCTTTATAGTCTATATCAATATTGAAGCACCTTTGTTTCCCTTCTGCTTTCTTCATACAGTTGCCAAAATCATTTAATCATCAAAAGGTATCTCTCTCTCTCTCTCTCTCTCTCTCTCTCTCTCTCTCTCTCTCTCTCTCTCTCTCTCTCACATACTCTCTCTCTCAATGTATTTAGTTGTTTACATTTTTAAATCTAGGACACTGTATACTTTAACATATTTGTTACTAAAGTGAATAATGCCAGGTATAGGCTTCCTCCCTTCAAGCTGTTGGCTTCAAACAATACAATCTATAGCTACTCTTATTGGTTTCCCACGAAAGCTTAATGATAAGACCCTATTCTGAAGTCACTACACATTTTACCCATGCTATATGAGAGAAATCAAGTTGCCATTGACGAGGAAACTTCTTTCCCTCTGGATAGCTTTCAGAGATAACATCAATGGGTGCTATTTAGGATGTTTGAGTGAAAAGAAATCAAAAGTCTTGCACAGCATTGGTACTTTAGTGGTACAATTATTATGGGTTAACCAACTCCTCTCTGGTTGGATTTAAGGCCTGCTCCACAGGAGGAGATATACGCCTGGTACCGCAAATCTAAGACCCATGGTGGGAAACTTATAGGGTCCATGCATGAACCTATAAAGTTTAGTAAATGGTTACAGTATGAATCTGCTCTCTAAATTCATATTTTGGTACCTATAAACTGTTGTAGCTCTCAGATATCATCACAAAGGTTTCTTTGTACAGTGGACAGTGGCTAACATAGAAACTCTCAACTAATTTTAAAGTGAAGAGAATGAGTATCTGTGGAGCGCTACATTATTCACTCAGATCATATTATCAAGGAAAGGGGGTATAGAAAGATGATAAGAGGCATCACTTGGGGAAGACTGGACTAAAACACTGTCTTCTGGACATGATAGGACTGCTGACTACACTGATGAACCCTCAGCAGATGTGGTTGCCTACACAAGATCCGTACAAGATGAAGCCAGTCAGTTTTCCAACCTGGAAGGAAGATGGACTCACAAGCCCCAACCCCTAAATGAGGAGCTATTGACAGTTGATGGTTTCTGTGGGAGGGAAAGTCAGTTTTCTTTAAGGATGTGTCCTTTGGTGGGTCAACCCTGTTCCAGTGAATGGCTCCACACTTACTTGTATGTGGGCAGAACAAATTGAAATCAGTGGGTTATAAAAAAATGGATGTGAAGTTGGGAGGAGTGGGTTGATTAATCTGGTACTAGTTAGAGGAAGGGACAGTGATAAATATGACCTAAATATATTGTATGCATATTTAAAATAATCAAAAATTAATAAAATGTTTATATAAAGAAAATATTATTTACTAAGGTATCCATTTTTCAAATATTATTGTGAACACACTATAGAGAAATATACTAGACCTTGCTTAGGTACAGAACATCTTATCTTTGAAGAGGTGATCAGAATAATACTTAACCTAATGATCTGCCTTAAATTAATCTAGCATTTATTCCAATCTTGCTAATTGAGAATGCAACTTCTAAATTAAGTTTTTTTTATGATATGGGGAATATTTCATTGAACTGTTTGTAATGGGAATTTGACTAAGTGTATTTGGAGAGTCTTATAGAATGCCTTCACTGGATGCTGAAATTCAGTGAGTCACTCAATGTTCTGCTATTTATTTTGTAGGTAGCCACTAACTGTAGAAGTCCCACTTCTCCTATCCACTCCATAGATGATGAGAAAGAGGACATTTATGTGAACTATCCAACCTTCTCTCGAAGACCCAAACCAAGATTCTAAGCTGTTCTTCCATCCAGAACACATCAGTGATGGCTTGTATGGCAGGGGGTTTTAGCCATCCTCTTTTTACCACCAGCATCTACCTTGATAAAAAATTGATTGAATTTATTTCATTTGCTATAGAGAAATACTTAATCACCTGGGAACATTCTTAATAGAGATGCATTAGAAAACCCGAATCTAATTAGCTGTCATGTACAAGAAGACTTGTCCCATTATGCAACAAAACAGTCTAGAAAAGATGAAACATCACAAGGTGTTCTTGTATTTGAAGTTAATGGTGGGCAGAAGCTTGTCTCTGGATCCTCCCTACAAGTGTTGGCTCCACTTGTAGAATACTGATCCAATTCTCATGATGATTCTCTCAGATGCTCTCATGATGGTTGTCAGCGACCCTTGGTGGAAAGTTTATTGGTCAAACACAAGAAACAAAGTTGATTATTCACTTATTAGTAAGAAAATGGCATTACCATAAAGGGTGAGATGACTTACGTCAGTTATGCATTCTCCTATAAAACAGGGGCGGCACTAAAGCATTACTTGGGAATTCTAACTATTGTTAAAAAAAGGATGAAAAGGACCTAGAAGCTGTGTTATTCCTAACAAACATCGACGACACAGACATCACTCATTAATCAGCTAACAAGTGAGTATGCTGCAAAGCCAGCATAATTCAAAGGAATACATGTAAAGGAATAGCCAGGAATGAGATCGGTATGAAATTCTTCTCTTCCCTAAGTTGATTCATCTCCAATTCATAGAGAATTCTTGCCATCCACCAGGCCTAGTCTTCTATAAAATGAGATGCTCCAATAAGAAATAATGCTTTTGATGTTTTTTTAACTTTTGAGAATTATTTTGGTGTGTAAGTTTGTGAGTTAAAAAACTTACAAAATGAATACAGGGAAAGAGATCAGTGGGTATATGCAGTAGAATACAGAAAGGTAGGCGTCTGAGATTAGAGTTTGGAGAATGTGGGGGAAGAGGAAAGGGTGTCACACAGAAAGTGACATATGAAAGAAAACCCATGAAAACCCATGCTTCAGAGTTTGGACAAGTCCATCCCTACCAACACTGCTGTCATTGAGGGAATGCACCTGGCGTTCCATTCTAGACAGAGGAAAAAAAATTAGGAGTATTTGTGAAACTAAATAAAGTTATAGTTATCTCCAAACCATGGTGTTCATTATCAAATGAAATGGTGTTCAGTATCTGAAAGACCCATTTCTGATCGCTAAACATATTTAAAGGGTCACAATCTTTAAATCTTCATTGCAGAAATCTTCATTTAAGTTTCTGGTTTGTATATGTTGTTGTAAACTTAAGTGAAACCAAATCCAAATGCTAATGCTGTTACAGAGATTCTAAACTGTAATTCATAGTTTTAAGCTAATTAGTGGATATTACATATTTTAAGCTTAAATACCATGCATGATGAATAGGCCAATTGTTTTGCCAACTACAGAAATTCAGAGGGATATAAATGAAAATGAACACTTCTTAGTTGTGCTTACATATTTATTCAAGAATGGTTAGCTCAGATACTTAATGTTTGTTTGAAGATTATTTTTGTGTTGTCTCTTTTTGTGAAATGTTTCCATAAACAGTGTACCAAAGTTGGAAGGCAATTGACAGAAAATAGTCAACATTTGGAACCATCAGAGATTACATGGCTATATGGCTCAGACTGCATGGTGAAACAACATAGTATTGTTCGTAAAATAAACTAACATTTCAATAAATGTTAACGACAATCAAAATACTGCTTTCTAGAATATTTGGATGACCATTTTTTCAATGGTTCAATAAGTAAGAGGAAATACTTTTATAATTGCACTATAGGGAGATATAAATAGCTACCTGATGGTCAGCGATTTCTATGAAAAATCACCTAAGTAGACCAAGAAAGCCTCCAAAACATTGGGTGCTTGTCTCTGTTGCTGTGGGAACTTATATGCTGTTTTTTGAAAAAAAAATCACTCCCTCAAGATACATTTACTCTGCCCATTTTTCCTTTCTATATGTAGTTCCCTTGCAGAATTTAGTATTTACCAGGAACACTTGCTGCAATGCCTGACCTCTGTTATATTGAGAAGATGCTCATTGTCTCTGAACATTTTTACTAAAGAAAGCACTTTAATTGCAATCTTTGTATCCTACACAATTCACACACATTTCTGGAATGTGACCCCTCAAATTTTTTTGTTCCTATTGTGCTGATTGGCAGGGTGATCAAAACTGTGTCAAGAAATAAAAGATGAAGGTCCCCAATGAAACACAATTTTGTTTTTCCTGTTTTTTTTAGTATTTGGTGCTTCTTTGGAGGCTAAATGCTTTGCAGAGGTGTTTTACACACATAATGTATATCAGTATATAATGCAGCACTAAGTGAAATATTCATGCTTGCATTAAATACTGTAATCCTAATATCTACATTAAAGTAAACAATGAGAAGAAGTTAAGTTTGATTAAGGATAGAATACTTTCTTAGGCACTTAATAACTATGCATTCACTATGTTATCCAATTGATATTGAACTTTATTTAAATGACTTCATGTTAGTGTTAAGAAAATAGAATATAATTTTCTCTTTTATTCTTTTCTATTTTTTTATTACTGAGGATTGAAGTCGGGCCTTTTAAATGTCAGAAAAGTGCTCTACCACTGAGCTAGAACTCAAGAATATAAATTTAAAGTTTAATTATTATTAAGATACTATACATTAAATATCAGTTTTAAAAGATATTTTTTTAACTTTTAACTTTAAATTTTTTTAAAATAAAAAACTAGAAGGCTTTCTTTTTATTTTAAACATGCAATTTTTATTAGTTTGAGTATAGAACTCTACTAAATGAAAAATACCCTCAAGTTGGGTGGTCGTGGAACAAGCCTTTAATTCCAGTACTTGGGAGGCAGAGGCAGGCAGATCTCTATGAGTTTGAGACTAGTCTGGTCTACAAGAACTAGTTCCAGGTTCCAGGACAGCCTCCAAAGCCACAGAGAAACCTTGTCTTGAACCCCCCCCCAAAAAAAAGAAAAAAAGAAAAACAAAACAAAAAACCCTCATTACAACAATCTTGTAAATTAGGAAAGTCCACATTATAGAGATCAGTTTACATAGTTTTTTTTCTGTGTTCAAAGCACTAACAATGTTGTAGATGCTGTTAGAAAATAACTTATTTGGGGCTATAGACAATACTTGTCTGATCTAATTTGTCGCTTCTTGTCCCTGCTATAATCATATGTTCTGTGACTATCCTATTTAGAACATTTCTAGTTTTACTTCCCAGTATCTGAGACTCTGGATTTTTAGCCATCAAGCATTTCTTTCTCTGGATGTACTGCAACCCAATGTTCTGAATGAATAAAATACAGTTCTCAATTATCACTAGTTTCATTTTCTACTGAAGAATTTTAGAAAAAATAAACAGAAAGAAATAAACATGCAGAGAAAATGCAGAACAAATTTTAATCATGGAAACTTTGTGACTTTTTTCTCAAAGTAATATCTTGTACCTTTTATAAATATTTGTAATTCTATGAGCTATGTAAATATTTGCTTTTTCCCATTTTAGGGGGACAGAAATGTGTTTTATTCATTTAATCACAATCATTTGATTTTAGGAAGGAACTATCTGTATGATTATAGTCATAAGGATGGAAGGTATGGATGTTAAAGATATTTTCCGGGGGGGGAGATATTTTCCCATATGTAGGCTGCTGTTCTAGGGCTGACTTCCAAAATATATACAGAACTCAAGAAAATAGATGTCAACAAACCCAATAATGCAATTAAAAATGGGGTACAGATTTAAACAGAGAATTCTCAACAAAAGAATCTCAAATGGCCAAGAAACACTTAAGGATATGTTGAACATCTTTAGTTTTCTGGGAATTGCAAATCAAAACGACTCTGAGGTTCCATCTTAACACCTGTCAGAATGGCTAAGATAGAAAACACAAGCGTCTGATCATGCTGGAGAGGATGTGGACCAAGGGGAACACTTTTTCATTACTGGTCAGAATGCAAGCTTGTACAATTATGTTGGAAGTCAGTGTGGTGGTTTCTCACTAAACTGGGAATCTACCACAAGACCCAGGCCTACCACTCTTGGGCATATACCCAAAGGATGCTCAGTTATACCATAAGGACTCATGACCATTTATATTCACAGTAGCTATATTTGCAATAGCCAGGACCTGGGAACAACTGGCATGTCCTTCAATCAAGGAATGGATAAAGAAAATATGGTATACATTTATACAATGGAGTATTAGCTGTGGAAAAACAAGGACACCAGAACATTTGAAGGTAAATGAATGGAACTAGAAAAAAAATCATCCCAATGGAAGTAACCCAGACCTAGAAAGACAAATAAGGTATGTAATCACTCATAAGTGGCTATTAGCTGTAAAATAAATAATAACTATGCTAGGTAACAAGGAAAGTTCATGAACAAGATGCCCAGATCTTCCTGGGAAGGGGACATAGAAGAAATTTCATGAGAGGACTGAGGTCAGGTGGGGATGGGAACATGAACTTTCAGGTTGGGAGTGGGCAGAGAGGGACAGTAGTGAAGGAGACTACTGGAAACAGGGAGCATTTAGGGAGTCAGAGAGACCTGTAGGAAGTATGGTGCAAGTAGGAATCTACACGGATGACCTTCACTAAGACTGTTAGCAATAGCAGATACATAGACTGAACTGGCCATCTCCTGTGACCAGATTGGTGCCTGGACCTAATGTCATCAGATAGGCTTCATTCAGCAGCAGCCAATATTAGTCAGAGTTTGGGGACTCCTGCAGAGGAAAAGGACAAAGGGTGATAAGAGCCAGAGGGTGAAGGATACCCCAAGAAAACTCACATAATCAAGTAATCTGGGCTCACAGCGGCTCACAGACTGAACCGACAACCAGGGAGCCTGCATTCACTCTGCCTCTACTACACACATAGCTTGTCTTCTGAACTTGGATGGACCCCACTCCACCACTTCTGCTGTTCTTGCCGGTTGTCCCATGGTACTGGCGTCTCCAAAATGGTGTGGTCTTCTGTGGCAGGGTTGCACTTTCACCAGTAGCCTCTCCTTTGCTATCATTGTGATGCAAAGTCAACTTTTCTCCATGACCTTTGCAGTCCTGGGGTTTCCACTGCTGCTCTGCCTGTTCATTCACCGATGGCCTCTTGTGGCCTCTCACAGTGCAAAGCCTCAACTGTTCTCCATGGTCCCTTTGTGCCTTCAAAACCAATACTACCTGGGTGACTCTTACATTACCACATTTGGTGCCCTCTGAAACACAGCTTCGGTGTGCTAACTCTCGGGAAACAGCAGAAGATGTCACCTCAATGATGCTTGTCTCTGCTAATTTCTCAGTTCCAGCTAAGCAGCATCAATTGTTCCAGTAACTCCAAGGTTTCCCTTCAAAGGTGTCAGTCTCTTGTTAATCATGGTTGATTCTTCAATTTTAGCTGACCAGATGCAGGTCCTTCGTACACTTGGCCCTGTGGAGTCTTGGCTTCACTCTGAAACTTCACAAGCCAGCCAGCCCTTCTGTCTGCACTGCTCTCAACATTCTTATCTTCCAACCCTCTACAGACATCCCACTGAGTTTTCAACACTCAGTAGCTTTTCTAGTCCAAAGTCCCAAAGTGCTTCCACAATTCTTCCCAAAACATGGTCAGGTCTCTCACAGTGATACCCTACTTCTAGTACCAATTTCTGTCTTAGTTTGGGTTACTTTTCCTATGCTGAAACACCATGACCAAAAGCAAGTTGAGGAGGAAAGGGACTATGGACACATCCATAGTTCATCACTAAAAGGACAGGGCAGGAACTCAAACATGATGAGAATCTGAAGACAGGAGCTGATGTAGAGGCCGTGGAGGGGTGCTGCTTACTGGCTTGCTAGCCATGGCTTCCTAGCCATGGCTTGCTAACCCTGATTTCTTTTAGAACCTAGGACTACCTGCTGGGGGATTATTCCACCAACAATGGGCTGGGCCATCCTACACCAATCATAAAATTAAGAAAATACTCTGCATCAGTAGTTATCAACCTGTGTATTGAAACCCTTTGGCAAACCTCTTTCTCCAAAACTACTTACATTATGATCACAACAGTAACAAAAATACAGTTACAAAGCAGTAATGAAAATAATTTTATGATTGGGGGTCACCACAACATGAGGAACTGTATTAAAGGACTGAAGCATTAGGGTGTTTGAGAACCACTGCCCTCCAGCTTGCCTACATCCATATCTTACAAAGACATTTTCCCAATTGAGTTTCCATGCTTTCAGACGACTCTAGCTCATGGTAAGTTGATATAAAACCATTCAGTAGAACGATTCTTTGTTTGTATGGGTCCTGAGCAATATCCCTTGTGACTCAGTTGTTTCAGAATCTGGATCTTGTAGGTATTAGTGAGAAGGAAGTAGATTAGGCAGATCTAACTCTCCCTAAATATACAAGATGGCATACCTTATAAGGTTACCAAGGAACTGTCAAATATTTCTATTTGATGGAATTGACTTTGCTTAAGTTTATACTTTATACATATTTTGGGTCTGGAATAAAATCAGCTCTATCCACCTGCATTCACTATGACTTTTAACAAATTGGGTGAATAAACAAATAACAAGCTCTTATACTATCTATATCAATAGTTCATTTTTCCAAGGTAATATTGAGATTTTGTTTGGACATCAGATTTGACATCCCATATAATAGATACATTATAATTTCCCTAAAATTCACTCTAGTCTGTAGATTTTTCATTTTATTATTTTAATTTTAAATAGCTTCCTTCACATGTCAATCCCAGTTCCCTCTCCCTCCCCTCATCCTTCACCCCCCACTATCCCCCCTCAGCCTCCCACCCTGTCGCCACTTTTGTAGATTTTAACTTTCAACTTTTATCTGAACCTGATATAATTTCATAGAAAATACTGATTGCTGTTAATATTGTGAGAAGATAAAGCTGATCTGAGATGTCACAGTTATGAATTTAAAATATCAAACAAAAATCCCTCATGCAATGTCAAGCCATATTTGCAAGACAGGAACCTTGAGAAGAAGCTGATGGTGTACTTTCTTTTCTCCACAAAATTTACATGATCTTAATTGATTTATTTTTTTCTAGTTCTTCTTGGAATTTGCTCTTAAGATGATATAATCAGCCGGGCGTTGGTAGCGCACGCCTTTAATCCCAGCACTTGGAAGGCAGAGACAGGCGGATCTCTGTGAGTTCGAGGCCAGCCTGGTCTACAGAGCTAGTTCCAGGACAGTCTCCAAAACAATACAGAGAAACCCTGTCTCAAAATACCAAAAAAAAAAAAAAAGATGATATAATCTGTGACTTATTACAGATTTTATCCAAGATATCCTGAAGTTTCCATAGTAACAACATCATGACTCTAATCATCTTTGTGACTAAGGCTGAGTGCACCAATACTCTTTTTTTGTTTTGTTTTGTTTTTTTGAGACAGGGATTCTCTGTATTGTTTTAGAGCCTGTCCTTGAACTTGCTCTGTAGACCAGACTGGTCTCGAACTCACAGAGATCCTCCTGCCTCTGCTTCCTGAGTGCTGGGATTAAAGGCATGCGCCATCAATGTCTGGCCAATATATACTCTTAATGCTATCATACTTTGTTGTAAATTCTTTGAAAGTGGCCTTGGGTGAGCTTATTTATTCCACTTTTCATTTTAGCTTATGTGAGATATTAGATTCAAGTTTTAATGTCTTTTTTATTTCCCTTACATTAAAAATATAATGTAAATTAAAAACATAATGATTAAGTAGCTTTTCAATAACATTGTTTTTCTGTATGCAATTGTCAAATAACTAAAATAATAAGTAAATATAATTTACAAGTCTCTGATTATCCTTTCAAAAGCTAGGAATAGCTAATTCTTATAAAGTTGGATAATTAATGAAATTATATATTTCTATTAGGTGGTAAAATTTTAAATATATTTCTTATATTCTTTTATTTTTAAAAACTTCAAGACGGTGCCAAGAGAAATAGCATTATTGTAATTGAGAATTTAGTAGACATAGATTCAGATAAATTGTGTGCCAAGCAATGCTATATTAACATTGATTAGTATAGGAAACAGATTTTTACAAATTTCCTGTAAGAACAATGTGAAATATTGAACACTATTCTCCTTAGGTCATTTTAGTCATTGTGATGATGGCTGATTTAAAAGGTCTAGAGAGTTTCAGCTTTTCCTTCTCTATTATGTGCTCAGAGTCCCCTGACTGAATACCCCGTTGGCCAATTATAGTCTTACTTGCCAGTTCTTGTTGGCTGCAAAACCACCCATGCAAATAGCTACCCAATGGCAACGGCTTCATGGGGATCTCTTCCAAGCTTCCCTTCAC